AATTGGTTACTCAGCTCGATCAAAAATGATTGAAATCTCTTAAGGAATTCTTCAATTTTAGATCTCATTCGAACATCATTTTTTAATTATTGCAATGTTATTGCTACGTTTGTGCCCAGGTACATGTTTTGTATAGGAAGGAAATGCATTCTTGAACTTGGATCTATTGACTGAAGCGGAGTAGTTTTTATATAATTAATCTTCATAAAGCAAATCAAAATGGAACTCATCATGTTTTGTATGTCTGTTTCAATTTTATGAATAAGTGTCTGATTACTTTGAAAAATAACGTTAAATTTTGTAGTTATGGGTAATATAAAATCTATAAAGTAAAGATAGTTTTGTCTCATCGCTGTTAAGGTGATCAAATATAAATTGACAAGTAGTTCTTATTCCCTAAAAACTCATTTTGAAAAAAAAACTTTTAATGCTGACCATTGCTCTATAATTCAGTGAATGCATTGATGTAGAGATAGCCACCTGATATCATAATGACGAAGCATATGGTGAGTTGGAGTGTCAGTAAAATTTTGAAATTCGGCAAACTCTCTTTGTCGTTGGCTACTGTGAGAGAAGTATGAAAAAACATCTTTGACAAATAACTCTATAGAACGAGGTAATTGTTTGCATGCATAACTCACTGAAAGGTTTGTTGAGTGGCACATTTGAAAAAAAATGCAGTTTGGGTTGACTTCCCTAATTTTAGATACCTTTCCTTTCGCCGAACATAACATTCGTTGTATCTAAACGTAGTGATTATATTCTCTTTGGTTGTATCAGCAGCGAACCCTATTAAATTGGCTATGTTAAGGTTTCTTTCAGATAAGGCACATGTTAAACTGTCAAACAAATCCTGCGCAGTATCAACTTTTAAGTCCACCATACACAAAAATTTTGTTTGTGGAGATTGCATTTTTTCGGAGTAGTACTTTATTACTGCTGCAAGTACCTTGGCAGTACTGACATCTGTACTCTCGTCGATAATGAGCGAAAATACTGGGCTTCTCTCAGTTTCATTTTCCAGTTTTGGACGTAATTCTGCAAGCATTTTTCCTTCGAAGTTATTGCGTAAGACTTTGTAGGCAATTGCCGCAGATTTAGTTCTTCTACAGGAAAAACGTTTTGCTATTTCGGAGTCGTGAAATGCCCTTGAAATAACTTCGCTTACATGATCCATTACGCGAAAAGGAATGTTATGTTCAACTAAGGCAGCTACAATGCTGATTTCTGCTTTTTTTACTTCTTCCGAAATGGTTGATGATTTGAAAATCGTATCAATCTGTAACCAAAGAATTTAAAAATAAGTATTCAGGACATTTCATATAGCGCTATATAATATCAAAAACGAAGCAATTTTTACATAGCATTTAACATGAATAAACACACATAGTTGTATAGTAATTGTTATGTAAATGCGTAGGTAATAAACGTACATAAAACAAGGAATATTTACTTTTGAGTGGAAATTAAATTCATAAACTTTAGAACATAATACGGGTTCACACTACTGCGTAAGTTGAAAGTATTAAAAAAGTCTTAACAAGAATAATTAACTAAGAATTACATTCCACATATTAACGTAAGTAACTTGTATACCTGAGAAATGCCGGAATATCCTTTCATATTTTTATATGCTTTGATGTAGCCATGTGTTCCTTCAAAGAAGCCACTCTACTTAGTACTTCCCAGTTGCATGCTTTACAATGAGCACTCGTAGTGTTTACCTTAGATTTACATAACCAACTTTTAAATGAGGGATCTTGCTCCCATTTATCGCGATATCCTTGTGTATATTTACGTTTCATTTTAAACTCGATTATAAAAATTCTCAATAAAGGAATTCCCACTAGTCTATCACACTCTATGCTCACGTCACGAATGGTAACGAAAAGAATGAAAATTAAATAGTTACAATCCATTCGATGAAAAGGGGAATACCCCGCATTCGATATGCCAAAAAAGTACTACAATAACTGAAAAGCGTGAATTCTACTAAAATATACCAAATAATTTTTACATACTAAATTCTGTTGCCAGTACCTCAAAATCTACCAAAAAGTAGAAATCTACTAAATCTGGTCACGCTGAAGACAATGGTCCAACGAACCTAAAGTAGCGCCGACGAAAACCTGATATCCGTCCGAATGAGAGGTCAGTAGAAGGTCCAACAGGGAAGGTGCATGATCCTCCACGTCTGGAATCCGCGTAGGCGAATAAGTAGCTGTGTAAGACCATATGCCAAAGCTAAGTCATAAACAGATCTCCCCGCGTGAACGGTTGAACGTGAACAAAGCCATTATGCGTGGTGGGCGTTAAAATCGACAAGGATCACGATCTCTGTGGATGGGATCTGCTGTAACAAGGAAGCCATTTGGATGTGGTCGACGAGTCGGTCTGTTTCGAAATTACCGCTCTGGGACCTATAGAGGCACCCGTAGGCGCGGTGATGATCGTCGCTGTCTACGCGCAGCCATAGGATGGACAGGTCTGTACCTTCACGACTGCCGAAGCGTCGAAAACAGATGTCCTCTTTGACGTATACGCAAACTATAGCCCTGAGCACAAAGAAGTGATCTAATTTGTACCCCGGGTAGGAGAGATATGAAGTATCAGCCGGAGAAGAAACCTGAGTCTCGATTAAAAAGAGCAAGGCCGGCTTCGCCGTTTCTAGTTGGTAGTGGACAGCGTTAAGGTTGGAATGAAGTTTCGTGATGTTGCAAAAATTCTACGGATAGCATGACAGGGGTTGCCTTGGTCTTATTGCTCCGCTTGCCCCAAGCAATATTAGTCGCGAGCGGAATTTTGCCCCCCCCCCCCCTCCTCCCCCCTCCCTACAGGGCAACCTGAGCACCCACGATCAATAATGGAGTAGCTTGGTCGTGGATGCTCAGCTTGGGATTCTCCAGGGATGCTGGTACCCTCCTGTGGTAGTCTTTCGTTTAATTACGCTACCATATTGATGGGGGGGGGGGGGGGGATTGGACATCCGGTCACCTGCACTCACCAAGCGAAACACAGAGGTAAACCTATACTTCACGCTGGTATTCTGTGACTTACCATCAGTTGAACTGTGTGCTCGCTCATCACCCTTATCCTATAAAAAAAAGACTGCTGAAAATTCTGGCAACTCTTCCTACAAGCTAGAGAGATGATTTTTTACACTAAGACATGTAAAATCTTGGTAGGGAGCAAACATATTAGAAGAGAGGTTGACAGGTTTACCTCTTCTACATATTCATTCATAGCCCCCGAGATCTCAATATTATCACCTGATTTGCCAATAAAAATAGAAGACCTACAATTGTTTTATAATGTGTGCTATAAAATTGTGTATTGTGCAATAAAGTCTGATTTACTCAACATATTTTATTTTCGTGACCCCCTCCAAAATTTCAGGCTGCGACCACGCCTAGGTGAATGTAGCGTGAAATGAGATCTAATAAAGAATGCACTGCATTTTTCCAGAGAGGAGAATGCCTGGTGCTGGTATTGGTGGTGCCACTAGCAGAGGACGATACCTGACATTGACATTGAAGAATTTGTCCATGATATGGTTGAAAAAGATCCGTCTATTTCGATGCGAGATATCGAATGACGCAGTAGAGTATCGCACTCTACAGCACATCGAATTCTCAAACAATGGAGACTTCACCCTTATTACGTTACACGTGTGCAAACGCTTCAACAACGTGACTACCCAGCACGAGATACTTTCGTAGAGAAATTCTGAGGCGAATGGATGAAGATCCTGGGTTTTTTAGAAAAAAATTGTGGAGCGAGAAGTCACCGCGTAAAAGAGACGGGTACCTTAACTTGCGTAATCTGCACAGTTGGCAGCGAGCAAACCCATATTTGATGGGAGAAGATAGGTCGCAAAACCAGTTTGAAATAAATTATTGGACAGGAACACTAAACGGAAGAATCATAGGCCCATATGAATTGCCGGGTAACCAGAATGGGGCCAATTATTTCGAATTTCTGCAAAATGAGCTGCCCCATTTATTAAAAGGTGAGCCACTAGCCATGCGGCGAAGTAGCTCCAAAATGATGGTTGTCCGACACATTACGCCGTCCAAGTAAGGAGTTACTTAAACGAAGCCCATCGTGACCGATGGATCGGCCGAATGAGGCCGTTATTGTGGCTACCAAGATCACCTGATCTTAACCCATTAGATTTTTTATTGGGGCTGCCTGAAGGAGCAAGTTTATAAAAAACCAATTGAAACAATCGACGAACTTCGCGTCACAGAAGCATCAAGGGTTATTTCAACCAAAAAATATCAAAGACTTTTAGAGAGATCGTTTGTAGAAAGATGTAGAGCCTGCATAATGGCCGGAGGAGGCCAGTCCGAGCATTTTCTGTAAATGATTTTAAATTAAAAAAATAGATATAACTCATGTTCTTTTCATTAATTTACGCATCCTTAACAAATGGGAAAACAGTTCAAACCATAATTTCACAGCTGTACATAATAGAACATGTCAAGTTTCACTGTTTGTCTCGCTCACAAAGAGACAAGTGGATAGTGGGCAAAGTGCTTTGCTCGATGTTCCATCGGATGCAGCAATGTATTGATGTAAATGGACACTATTTTGAAAAAATATAATAAAACTAATAACTTGCTAGTTTGTTCAGTTTTTGATTTTCTAAGAACTTTCAGTGTCACCCTCGCATCCAGACCGGTGGCGCGTAGCAAGCGTCAAAGGTGCAAGACATTTAGTACTGCGTCCGCCTGCCAAACGCACACATTAAAGCAAATCCACCCAACAACGAAAGTGGCCTATGTCTAAGTAGTGGATTCTTATTGGCTGATGAAACTTGCCGTCACGAAATCCCGTGACGAAATGGCGGAGTGAAGCGTGTTTAACTATCCTCGAATCTCAACACCCTAACCAATGCCTTTTTTATTAAGACTGCCGGGAAATAAAAAGCAGAAATCTTTATAAGTATTTTATTTACAATATTTACAAAGATTGTCATTTAATAAATCACGTTAAAATCATACTGGAGGCCAATATAATGTGACTTCATTATGAGCCGATTCCGGCAACCATTTGAGATATTCGTCCAACAAATCTGCAACAATAATTCGTTATGTAAATTCTCATAAAGCGTACAGGCAGACTATAATAGCTTGTGAAATTCCAATAATGTTTTTAACTGTTTTATTTTGTTTATCATCTTAACCATCTGTTGAATAAAGGCCTGACACAAAACAAGATCTTGAGCCAGCAGCATTTAGAGACTTTCCACATCGATTACCAGGTCATCACACCATCTTGTCTTCTACTCGAAAACCTTTATTCCACGTCATGTGTCGGTCTTTTGAGTTGTACGGCTGTCATACTGCATTATAGTTTACAAATCCAATGAAGTATCGGTTAATTTGGTTCTATTGCGAATATGTCCGTTAAGGATTCTATCACGCAGAGATACGTGAAGCTCTCTCTCTCCATAGCTTCCTGAACGACTTTGAACGTAGATATGCAGATATATACCTCCACTAATCTGAACTACTGTAGACAAATCAGATAACGATCTTACAACCTCATTTTTAAAGTGGTAGATTTAAAAAGGCGTTTGATAAACGCAATTTTATATTCTTATGATAAAAAATAAAGACATTAAATTTCATAAACATAGGATAAAAATAGATAATATTTCGTAGACTTACATTTTGAATTTTCCTCCCACGCCTTTTTCAGTTGTTCTCGATTTCCAACTCTGTTCATAATTAGGGCTTTCAGCAGCGTTTCGGTCCTCGGTTGTAATTTGGCCCAGCTTTTAATCATTGTGGATGGAGGCGAGAGAAGTGAACTGGTATACTTCCGGAGCTTTGGAAAGACCATGCCCTCTAGTAGAAATCTAGCGAACCACCTATGGTAGCAAATAGTTTCACGTATTATTAGTAATTTCCTATTAAGTTTATGTAATGAGACAGATTTTTCGTATTTAGAATTTTAACATATTCCTGAAAAAAACTCTTGAGTCGTAACCGCGGAGCAAATACAAAGAGGAAACGGCCTAAGCAACTGTGCTGTGTGATTCTAACTAGGTTCTGACGTCATCACAGTAGGCGTGGCTTTAGTTAGTATATTGTCAGCGTTCGTCCTGTCTTGTGCGTTTATGTGTCTAAAATCGCAAATCTGTGTATTTTATTATCGTAGTATTAAGAAGAAAAGATGAAGTTTTGTGTTTTATCGTGTAAAAACTACTCAGATAGACGCTTTGATGCTTTGTGGCATAACATTTCATTTGTAAATAATTTTGTACATAACTTATTTAAATAGTTCTAAAAAAAATCTCTTTGTGTCGGCTTTTTTTATAGGAGAGGGCAAACGAGTATGCGGCTCACCTGATGGTAAGTGACTACCGCCGCCCATGAACAACTGCAACACCAAGGGAATTGCAGATGCGTTGCCGGCCTTTTAAAAAGGAGTAGGCTCTTTTCTTGAAGGTCCCTAAGTCGTATCAGTCCGGAAAAATCGCAGGTGGTAATCGATTCCACAAGTTGTGCGAGGGAGAAAACACATATATTCGACACTAGATGGCGACACTTTGTGTCATGGGAACTAAAAATATAAAGGTACTTAGAGCTCAGTATTGATAAAAAAATTATACGAAGGTACTGTAATTTGTTTTGCATTCAGCCTTAAAGAATTTTGCCTGAAAACTGCCAAAATATTATTTTTATAGTTTTTATACTCATTTTGTGAATAGGCCGCCATCTATGGTCAATTAAAAGAACAATCATAAAAATAACAAATCCGTGAGAATTCCCGGCAGTCCGGCAAATAACCGGCGTCAAAGTCCGTTATTACAACGCAGACTAGTTTCGATTCCTCTTAAATAATTTTATGGTACAAAAGGTTAAATTTTCTAAAAGTACCGGTTTACTTTTCTGATTTAAGGCTAAGAAAATACTCATGGCGATAACATAAAAGCGACAGAGATGGAGTGACGTATGCACTGTTCGCATCATGAAACCTTAGACTCGGTAAACTTTAGAACATATTTTTGCTATTTGTTGCATAAATTTTAATTGCCTATTCATAATTGCTCCAGTCACGAATCGATAGAGAGAAATATTATACAAGAGTCATTTATGTGAACTTAATGACTATGACATTCTCACTGAGTCAACATAGTAATGCAGTCTGGAAGTAGCTGTCCTGACTAAGCTTTTGATATAAGGGGTTACTATGTTAAAATGATAAATGCAAGTAGCCAAAATTTTACAATAACATGTTGATCACGAATTGTGCGAATTAAGCTTTTCATATTGGATTACTGAAAACATGTTAGGAAGTGTAACATTACAAAAGACGCTTACTACACTGTATAGTTGTTATTGCTGGTCAAACCAAGGCGTCATACTTTCCGTCAACATACTTGTTTTGACCATACTACAGTGCAACCTCGATATAACAAATCGGAAGGGAACAAGTAAATATTCGTTGTATCAAGTAATTCGTTGAACTGAGGTTTGATATGTTGAGGTTAGGTTGGTCTAAAATTCGTTATAAAGAGGTAAAGCGTGTCGAAACCTGTCGCGACATGAATCACATATTATGAGATTAAGAGTAATACATTGGTGGGAACTTTATATAAAGGTTTTGGGTTGACAAAATTCGTTAATTAGAGGTATTTATACTTTTTCATGATAGTTGAAATTTCGTTATAAAAAGTTTGTTCGAAAAAATGTTCGTAATTTAAAAGGATATTTTACATTGACTCTTATGGACAATTCAAAGGGATTACGAAGAATTTGTTAAATCGAGGAATTCGTTATATTGTATTATACGTTATATTAAGGATGCACTGTATATACGCCGTTGGATTTAGAATAAGATTCATTATAGAACTCATCGTAGTCATTTAATCACTTAGTTAAGGAAGTCAGTATTGTACTGAATTAGTTTTAATACATTATTGTAATATAATGGTTATTAAATGTCATTGAGACATATTTAGTTGTTTTAAAAAGCAAAGATAAACACATAGGAGTGCTATAAAATTAAAAAGAAAAAGTTGAACAATCTGTAATTTACCTGTATCGCTCTATTTTATCTGGATAGTCGATCTCTACAATAGGAAGCTCCCAACAGGCTTTACCGAACGTGCCTTTGAAGCTACATTTTACACGTCCAGATTTTTCGTCGTATCTTGGTTCAGTGTCAGTTAACGGTTCACCTAAAAATCGAAAATCAGTTTCTTAAAATATTTTTTGGACCGCGATGGTATTCCCATCGCCGTGGGAATCATCGTCAAAGATGCGAGACGATAGTACAGCCAACTTTAATCTCCATAAGAGGAATGTGATGAGAGGAATGTGTGAAGCAGTAGACTACGTTGCTGATTAAAAATAAAAAATAAAGGGAATAATTAGTTCATTTAAAAATATACAAACATCTTCTTCAACACTTCAATCATCACTGGGTCAGGGAATAATTGATATGGAAACACCTCTAGTTGAAAAGGTTCTACCCACTACACTATATACGCTATATCAAAAGCTAGCTAGCTATATCGCTATATAAAAGGCATCATACAAGAGAATAATTTGCCTGATAACATCTAAAATTAATAATCACTGCGGTTGCCGATACGCCAGCTAATCGTGACAACTATAGCAAATGTCTCCTTTATGAGTCAATCTATGGGGGAGACCGCTGTTCAACAGTAGCCTTTTGTTAGGCTGTAATGAATAAACGAATTGAACTGTGAAAGTGTACTATATCTATAAATACAAAATCAGCTCAATCAATTCACTAAATTTGTATTACATATATTGAAAAATTTGATCGTATTGATGTCCTAATACATTTTAAACTTGGTTAAACGTGGTTAGGAGGCATAACATTCCGTTTATTAATATACATACATCTCTATATATAAAATCAATTGCGGTCCGTTAGACTCGCTAAAACTCGATACTGGCTCGACTGATTCTGATGAAATTTTTGTGTGTTTGAGTGGGTCCCTGAATGGTTTTTTTTTTTATAGGACAGGGGGCAAATGAGCATGCGACTCGCCTGATGGTAAGTGACTACCGCCGCCCATGAACAACCGCAACACCAGGGGAATTGCAGATGCGTTGCCGGCCTTTTAAAAAGGAGTAGGCTCCTTTCTTGAAGGTCCCTAAGTCGTATCGGTCCGGAAAAATCGCTGGTGGTATCGATTCCACAAGGGAGTTATGCGAGGAAGAAAACATCTTCTAAATCGCACAGTGGTGGACCGCCAATCATCCAGATGGTATGGATGGTATCGCAAGTTTTGTCGCGATTTGCGGTGGTGAAATTGAGCGGCTGGAATTAGTCCGAACAATTCCTAAGAGCACTCCCCGTGGTAAATGCGATAAAGATAAAGGTTTAGATTAACAATTGGTCCAAGTACGTGGAGCTGTTGTCGAGATTCAGAAATCACCTGGGCGAAGCCGGGGCGAATCCCTAGTATGAGATTTTTGATAATAATGAAAATTTATTTTGAACTAGCTGTTCCCCGCGACTTGGCCCGCGTGTATTTTATGGTTTTAATTATGTTGCGCGTAACCCTAACTCCTATTCTAAAATATAAGTAGTCTTCTAAGTTACAGCTTATACATCAGCTATCTGCCAGTGAAAGTCCCGTCAAAGTCGGTCCAGCCATTCTAGAGATTAGCCGGAACAAACAGACAGACAGAAATTAAAAAAAATTTGTTTTTGTTGTATGTACCGTATATACTTTCATATGCATTTAGTAAAAAAACTGTTATCATGTCATTATAAACAGACTTCTATTTAATTTATTTGTATAGATTATTGACCAGTGCTCTATTTTAACTTATAACACCGGTGAAAACTTTTAAACAATCGCTTTTAGTTTGTTTTTAGGTTATTATGATATTCATATGTTAATTGTTAATTTCTCAGTATTCCTATTAGATACAGTAAAACTAATATTACTATTGTAATCTGTAGATTATCTATACAAATAAATAAATATGAAGTGTCTGTTTGTAATGTCAAAACTACAGCTTTTTACTAAATGCATATGAAAGTAAATACGGTACTTATAACTAAGTTACAATTTTTTGTATTGTTTGTTTCGGCTAATCTCCGAAACGGCTGGACCGATTCTGACGGGATTTTCACTGGCAGATAGCTGGAGTAACTTAGGCTACTTTTTTAGAAAATTTTAAAAAAGAATTAGGGTTCCGCGCAAAAAAAATAAAAACCCTAACAGGCGAGCGAAGTCGCCGGGAACAGCTAGTAAGAAATAAATTGGCATGCATTTCATCAAGTTACGCTACAATTTGTGGTGGGCCCATTGTCCATACAAAAAGAAATCCTATGTTTGAAAATTATAATATATATTTACCTAGGTTACATAGTTGCGGCACAAACACCGGCAACCACTCGGGCTCAATGGCGGTTACGTTCCGCATCACCATCTTCCGCCTCTCCTCGGCGCCGGTCTCGTACAGCTCTTGGTACACTACCCATTCCGGTATGGTTTTACGAAGTATCGACTCGGAATGCAAATGGACGGGTTCATCCAATTCGCCGCAATGATACGCGTATTTGTATTTACGTTTGTCCTCACCTAAACGTAACAATCAATGATTCATTATATTTACACAAACACTGCACATTGATTGAAACTTGTTTTTAAGGATTAAATTCCTCGTGTTTGACTAACTTATTTTATATTCTAGATGTTTTGAGTACTTCACAGCACTTTTAACCATGGTTATTTTCAGTACCATTAGGTACCACCTACTTAACTATGTTTGTTGCCAAGCAGTATTACATGCACCGCTGTTTCGGTATGAAAGGAGCCTGTATAATTAGTTATTTAATTTTAGTCGTTTAAAGTTGGTTGCAGGTTTCCAAAGGCAGCAGTAGCCACTTACCATCAGATAGACTGTACGTTCGTTTGTCACCGGAACTTTATAAAAAAGTTATGTATGCCCAAATTATACTTATGGGCTATACTCATATGCATATTATTATGATTAAATCTATTCCTACAAAAATACCAACATTATCTCAATTTTTTGCGTTATTTTTTGCGTAACTACATCAGTTTGTTTGAGAAGATTGAGTTTCAATGCATGACACACTTACCTTCTTTAACCTCGTCCAAACCAATTTTCCTTCCAACTTGATCCCCAAGTCCACTTAACACCAGCTGTCGGAGCAACCTAGCTTGGTTTTCATCGGGCGGTTTCATTTCTGGGTCAATTTTAACGTCGACCCCAGGAACACTTAAGTTGATTTCTGTCGTCAGTTGTTTGCGCAGTTTGCGGATTTCTTTTATCGCCTAAATGACATTAAAGCTGACGCTTAATGAAATTAAAGGTAGCGAGAAAAGTTAATTATTTTTTGAAGAAGTAAGGCAAATAAATGAGCACACAATCAACGTAATATAAGTGGAGGCTAAGAATCGTGTGTTGTGGATACCTACATACCAACCAGATACCTACATCTTTAATCGATTAAAAATCAAAATGCAAATGGGTGTCAACCCGAAGGGCTAAAATGGAATGCCTCATTCCCAGTTAAAGGGGTATTTATTTGGTTCTCTACACTCACCATACGGAACTCGGCAAAAACACTAGGGGGGGGGGGGGAACACTGGGGGGTGGGGAACAACATATTTTCGATACAGGGGTCCGTATACGAAATATTTAGCTTTAAAGTGGTAATTTTCATTACTCACGTGCCCCCTCCCCCCTGTACCAACGAAACCCCATTTTTTGGAAATGTGAAAGTATAAATGATAGCAGTATAATATAATGAAGTTAAAAGGAAAACTATCACAGCTAAGTAGCCTTAACAAATTAACGAGTAATAGTCGAGCAACTTATAAAATGCAATGAAATGAAATGAAATATTTATTTGCATTTGGTTAAGGTACATTGAAGATGGTCATAGTAATTAAACATCCGCTTACAGGAAATAATTAATAAAGATTACCCCTTGTGGGTGAGCTGACACGCACTTGGCCATTTTTTTTAATTTGTAATTATAATTTCAACCATAGACACCAACATTTACCTTCAATTAAGAATTAAAATGTAGAAGCATTTTCACCTCTGAGATGGAATATCTTTAAGTAGAAAAAAAGTCTACAGTTCTCTTAGATCACCATAAGAAACGCAACAATATTATACGGATATTTCGCGTTGATATATTGTGCGAGCTTGGTCCTTCCCTGATAGAGCCGACTCATGCTTTCTGCATAATACGCTGCAGCATGGCTCTACTGTATCCATGTCTTATTTCATTTTAGCAATATGAAACGTTCATATCACAAAAGATGGTTTCGAGTGCAATCAATTTCACCTTCTCTCTTAAACCATGCTTAGCGCAGAAGAGCTCCTCCTCTCCCTTAACATGCGCGTACTCCGCGGCACCGACTGCCCTTAACAGCACTCCAGGATCTCCTAACAGCAACGTTTGACCAGTGGCTGGCCAACATTCTGCTTTACCGCTCATCACCTGCAATTGTGTCATTTATTGAGATTTTTAATTCCATTTCAAAGTTTTAGTAATAAGAATAGGTTAAATTTCGTTTACATAATATATTTATAACGTCTGTGAAATATACGGCGAGCGTTTAGCGCCTTAACAACCGCGGGAAATAAATAATTATCGAGGAATTACGACACAATGCTATTTGCTATGCACTTTAAATAACGCAATACATTACCTCGGGTACAGTTAGAGCTGAAACTAGTGCAATGGTGTAAGGAAGGAGATTCTGCTGATGGCTTAGAGCCAGCATCTTTCCGTACCGAGGCAACAAAGGAAACGCTGACACCGCCTTGCCAAGGGGCGTGACTTTTAAAACCTGTAAAAAATATTTAATTTATCCATCACATTACTTAGTTTTAAAAACATATACTTATTTGATCGATTTTAATTTACCTCCTCGTCATCCTTCCTTTTATTTTCTTTCTTTTCTGGTGTCTCCAATATACCGAGGACTTGAAGACGTTTCTCGGCCAACCGTAGTTGCATTCTGTCTGGAGCCGTTGGAAAGGGGAAATTTACAACCTGTATTAAAAACATAACCTTAATATTAGGATTAAATTATACGACAGGCCACGCATAAAGTTTTGTGAAGTTTTTTTTTTTGCTTGGCTAGTTACAACCTTTTTTGAAAAAACTATTTTCATCGCCGCAATATAAGCTAGCAGCGTTCGAGCTACTGCGGATGAGGTGTCTGAGACAGACTTGAAAGTGTTCCGAAAATCGGTTCACGCATGAAACTTATAGATAAAAATCTGACCAAACGAATTCTTTTTTAATATCGAAAAACTGGTCCACGTAGATAGTAAAGGATCGACAGATCCAAACTGGCAAACACGAAAGCGAGTTCGTAAAAATGTGGTAGGATTTTTAGCGGGACCTTGACCGAAGCGCCGCCGGATTGCTGATAAATAATCGTTTTAAGTGGAATTTGATACGTGATGTGATTTTGTGTGTTTGTGTGCGCATGAATCGATGAAACAAGTGCTCCGATTGTGATGTGAAACTCAAGATATACAAGTCAATAAAACCATAAAGTTGTAGTTCTATCTTTATTTAAACTTTTTGGTAATCACATTTAAAATTTTAAAAGTTTGCCACTGCAAAAGGACAACAGTTGCGCGCGATACTCTTAAATAAGTTTTTGACATTAACTTCGTAAGACACCTTCTTTTTTTTTCCAGAGAGTTCGTTTACGAAGTTTATTAAGTACACGAATTGTATAAATTTAATGTTATGCACTAAATGTTGTGCGCGTAAAAAATAACGTTTTGACTGTCAAAATTACCCTCGTTAATCAAAGTTACCGCGTTTGACTGTACTATAAAGAATAATTTTTATTACATGACAATGGCAAAAGTAAAAGAGTATAAATACTTCAACTCATCTTGGCGTATGTGTGCGTGTGCTTTCAAATATGCAGCTTTGATTTGAGTGGCAGTGATGAGGTAGTGGCGGGTAAGAATACTCACTACCCCATATCTTCACGTGGGTGTCGTAAAAGGCAACAGAGGGAAACTGAGGCAGAAGATGGGCAGCAGCATCTTTCTGATAACAACAAAAAGCAATAAAAAAACTGCGGTTGCCAACCGGCTCGCCAGGCGTGGCAACTATAGCAATATACCCCCATGCCCCAGTCCCCGGCGGCCCCGCTATTCCTGGCTACGGCAGCGACTATGGTAACGGCGGGACAAGAGGTGCTAAGAATCTCTGGTGGAGGTTCGGTTGCCACCTACGACTCGGCCTAGCAACTTATAACGCACGCACCCTGAGGACTGACGAGAAGATCCTGGAGTTGGAAGAAGAGATAGACAAGTTGCGCTGGTATATTATAGAATTATCCGAAATCCGAAGAGAGGGGGAGGACACGGTAATCCTCGAATCCGACAACTTGTTCTGTCACCGGGGAGGCGACCATCTGCCCCAAGGTGTCGGATTTATCGTCCACAAGTCTCTCGTTAACCCCACGGTTCGACAAAAAATGAGATTGACTTCATGATGACGACCAGACGACAACTGTTCAGTGATGTCTCAGTGATCACGAGTGTGAAATCTGGTAGCAATCACCGAATGGTTAGAGGCACACTGAACCGAAACTTTAAGTTGGAGAGGTCACGTCTAATAAAGCCAACGCTCCGTCCCCCCCGTGCTCTAATCCAAAGTCCCGAAACCTTTCAGCTCGCGTTACAAAACCATTATCAGTGTCTAGAAGACATGAAGTGGACGATATCAATGACAAGCTCGTGGAAACTGTTCATGCGGTCGGAGCTAAGTTTTGCAAGACTCATCGCAGAAGAACACAAAAACTCTCCGATCACACTCTTAATCTCATGGCTGTTAGACGGAAAATGAAGCCGCGGATATAGTCCTTATGGCAGAATTGCTGGAGGACGTAAGCATAGTGCTCAGTGACCTCAATAGTGTCTCCTAACGGATAGGTTTTAAGGTGAACATGGACAAAATATATAAGTTGTGGGGAGCACCTAAGCTCAAATTATTGACGAATATATTTACCTGGGACAAATAGTCCGACTAGGTAAGTCCAACTTCGACCGAGAGGTCAATCGACGGATTCAACTCGGCTGCGTAGCGTTCGGGAGATTTCGACACATCTTCTCGTTAGACATACCTCAAAATTAGCTTGTTCAACCAGTTCGTGTTGCCAGTGATGACCCATGGATCTCAGACGTGGTCCTTCACTGCTGACCGTATGAGGAAGCTCAAAGTCGCTCAGCGAGCTATGGAGAGGGTTATGCTCGGCGTTTCTCTGCGTAATAGACTTAAAGACGAGGATATCGGTAGTAGAACCGGAGTAACCGACATAGCCCAAGGAATTAGTATGTTGAAGTGGCAATGGATCGGCCATATAGCTCGAAGAACCGATAACCGATGGGAAAGAAAGGTTCTCGAGTGGCAGCCTCGTACCGGCAGGCGAAGTGTAGGGCGTCCCACCGCTAGATGGAGTGACGACCTGGTAAGACATGCAGGAAGTTAATGGATGCAGGTGGTTCGGGACCGCGCTTTGTGTCATTCTTTGGGGGAAGCCTATGTTCAGCAGTCGACTTGTGAAGAGCTGTAATGATGATGATGATGACGATGAGGCGGCAGTCGTCGTTCATGCAACACATGTTCTTACCTATTATTTTTGCCCATGCACACGCAGTCACTGTGTTTATATAAGGTTTGCGCACACATAGTGCCGCGCGCCAAGATTGGTTGAAATATATGTACGAGTCCATTACAAAAGAAAAAAGAGCATTTCAAAGTTACCTTGTCGATGGACATGCACTTCATGAGCAGCACGATGTCGTCGGCGGGGCGGCGGCAGAGGTCGGGCGCGTGGTGCGCGGGCAGCTCGTGCGCGAACACCGGCGCGCTGTACAGCCGGTACGCGTGGCCGGCGCCCGTGCGCCCCGCGCGCCCCGCCCGCTGCGCCGCGCCCGCCTGCGACACCCACACCACCCGCCACGCGGACGCGCCCGTCACGTGATCGTACACGCTGCAATGTTACGTCGCGAGGTTACATATCGCGCCACGTGCCACGTTCACACGGGAACACCGGCGCGCTGTACAGCCGGTACGCGTGGCCGGCGCCCGTGCGCCCCGCGCGCCCCGCCCGCTGCGCCGCGCCCGCCTGCGACACCCACACCACCCGCCACGCGGACGCGCCCGTCACGTGATCGTACACGCTGCAATGTTACGTCGCGAGGTTACATATCGCGCCACGTGCCACGTTCACACGGGAACACCGGCGCGCTGTACAGCCGGTACGCGTGGCCGGCGCCCGTGCGCCCCGCGCGCCCCGCCCGCTGCGCCGCGCCCGCCTGCGACACCCACACCACCCGCCACGCGGACGCGCCCGTCACGTGATCGTACACGCTGCAATGTTACGTCGCGAGGTTACATATCGCGCCACGTGCCACGTTCACACGGGAACACCGGCGCGCTGTACAGCCGGTACGCGTGGCCGGCGCCCGTGCGCCCCGCGCGCCCCGCCCGCTGCGCCGCGCCCGCCTGCGACACCCACACCACCCGCCACGCGGACGCGCCCGTCACGTGATCGTACACGCTGCAATGTTACGTCGCGAGGTTACATATCGCGCCACGTGCCACGTTCACACGGGAACACCGGCGCGCTGTACAGCCGGTACGCGTGGCCGGCGCCCGTGCGCCCCGCGCGCCCCGCCCGCTGCGCCGCGCCCGCCTGCGACACCCACACCACCCGCCACGCGGACGCGCCCGTCACGTGATCGTACACGCTGCAATGTTACGTCGCGAGGTTACATATCGCGCCACGTGCCACGTTCACACGGGAACACCGGCGCGCTGTACAGCCGGTACGCGTGGCCGGCGCCCGTGCGCCCCGCGCGCCCCGCCCGCTGCGCCGCGCCCGCCTGCGACACCCACACCACCCGCCACGCGGACGCGCCCGTCACGTGATCGTACACGCTGCAATGTTACGTCGCGAGGTTACATATCGCGCCACGTGCCACGTTCACACGGGAACACCGGCGCGCTGTACAGCCGGTACGCGTGGCCGGCGCCCGTGCGCCCCGCGCGCCCCGCCCGCTGCGCCGCGCCCGCCTGCGACACCCACACCACCCGCCACGCGGACGCGCCCGTCACGTGATCGTACACGCTGCAATGTTACGTCGCGAGGTTACATATCGCGCCACGTGCCACGTTCACACGGGAACACCGGCGCGCTGTACAGCCGGTACGCGTGGCCGGCGCCCGTGCGCCCCGCGCGCCCCGCCCGCTGCGCCGCGCCCGCCTGCGACACCCACACCACCCGCCACGCGGACGCGCCCGTCACGTGATCGTACACGCTGCAATGTTACGTCGCGAGGTTACATATCGCGCCACGTGCCACGTTCACACGGGAACACCGGCGCGCTGTACAGCCGGTACGCGTGGCCGGCGCCCGTGCGCCCCGCGCGCCCCGCCCGCTGCGCCGCGCCCGCCTGCGACACCCACACCACCCGCCACGCGGACGCGCCCGTCACGTGATCGTACACGCTGCAATGTTACGTCGCGAGGTTACATATCGCGCCACGTGCCACGTTCACACGGGAACACGTCGTCCGTTCTTTCTTCTTATATAAGGTTTATATTCCCTACTAAAGTATGGCGCACCTCGTCACGTCGCATTTCGTTACGGTGTGATTTAACCCTAATAGCCTATTCAGGCTCTCGTCAAGAACACCCGATAAATATGAATATCAATAGCTGTATGTATATGTAAGTTTTTTCGCCCGCTTCAAAGTTTACCGGGCGAAAAAAAAATCATATCGCATTCTTGTTCGACCTCATGCGATAAAAGTGGTTGTGTATATAAGAAATAAATTACGAACCTTGTTCTGTTTTGATAAATTTGTGACGTCATCATAGTCTTTTTGTTTTCTTTATCCTAGTTTTTGATTTTTACATCAACGTAATTATCATTTGGTAATACACGCAAAGCAAAGCTGCTGTGTGTAAATGGAGATTTTTTTTCGCTTTTCCAAGAGAGAGAGAGAGAGAAAAGCAAAAGTCTGGTGGGCCTATAAAGAACTGCGATAAATGCTGCCTGCTTACGCTGCAACCTTTTTGAAGCAGACCTTTTTATTTTTGCATTAATTTTATCGAGTCCAACTCAAAACTTTTTTTTAAATATTAATAATAATTTCCTCCAGACTGAATTTCAGTCAACAGAATTGTAGTGCCCGAGTGTATGCGTAAGCACAGGTGCAGTCTCTATTCCTTCACTCTAATTTACTTTTACTTATATTTTTGATAGTTTATTTAATTCCTTAGAGCAGTACTAGGTTTGGTACTGTTGCAAAGCTTAAGAAAAATATAACCGAAATAAAATATGTTTTTCTCTGGTTCCATAATCAATATCATATCGGAGCCGTGGTTGCTTAGAAGTTTAGCAACGCGGGTTCGAAATCCGCCAGCATCAGTGAAATTACTAATTCCAATTTTAGGATCTGATTTAGCACGCACTCCGCGCCTCAGACATGTGAAGTCTGCAAGAGAATGCATTGGGACACCGCTGTGGACACTTCCTTACCATAAAACCCCCCAGGAATGAAAGGAGGCCTGTATTCAAGAATGGGCCGTATATAGGCAGTAACTTACTTTCGATTTTATATAAAATGCAAATGATATAAAAACTCACCGCATTTTCTTTTTCCCAGTATCAACAACATACTTAATTGATGGAATAGTAAGTGACGTCTCAGCCACGTCCGTACTGACTACACACAAACGCGCGCCGGTTGGTGGCGGTTCAAAAACACGCGCTTGCTTCGATGAACTCAACATAGAGTATAAAGGAAGCACCCACAGAGGCTGACGGCAGGACTTTATTTCTGGTGTTAAAGTATCATCTTCTATATCTGTAAGAGCAAGTAAATGGATCGTTTAAAAATATTTGACTTTGATATCATCGGATGTGGTTGAAAATTATTTAAGATCACTGAGAAAGTATATGGTATACTCTTATAGATGGAAAATAATAATCGGCAGGCAAGATAACTAGGACAGATAGGTCTTGAACATGGACAAAACAAAGATCATGTTTAATATCTATGTCACACCTATGCCGGTAGTTGTTAGGAGCACTAAGCTCGAAGTTGTTGACAAGTATGTTTACCTGGGACAAATAGTCCGACTAGGTAAGTCCAACTTCGACCGAGAGGTCAATCGACGGATTCAACTCGGTTGGGCAGCGTTCGGGAAATTACGGCACATCTTCTCGTCAGGTATACCTCAAAACTTGAAAACGAGACTGTACAACCAGTGCGTGTTGCCAGTGATGACCGATGGAACTGAGACGTGGTCCTTCACTGCTGGCCGGATGAGGAAGCTCAAGGTCGCTCAGCGAGCTATGGAGAGGGCTATGTTCAGAATTTCTCTGCGTGATAAACTTAGAAATGAGGATATCCGCAGTAGAACCAGAGTGACCGACATAGCCCAACGGATTAGTAAGCTGAAGTGGCAATGGGCCGGCCATATAGCTCGAAGAACCGACAACCGATGGGGAAAAAAGGTTCTCGAGTGGCGGCCTCGTACCGGCTGACGAAGTGTAGGGTGTCCCCCCACTAGATGGAGTGACGACCTGGTAATATATGCTGGAAGTCGATGGATGCAGGTGGCTCAGGACCGTGCTTTGTGGCATTCCTTGGGGGAGGCCTATGTTCGGCAATGGACTTGTGAAGGGCTGTAATGAATGAATGAAAACTGATAAAGAGCATTCCAAGTCCTTTAGGGGTGACAACACACTGCATGTGATACTTATGGAGAATAAATGCAGTAATCTATGGACTATCGTCCATTCACATACCATCAGGGATGTCCTCGTTTGTCACTATTATATGTATAATTTTTTTTATAGGATAGGGTGACAAACGAGCACACAGTCTACCTGATGGTAAGTGGTTGCTGTGGCCCATAGACATCTACATCTATCCTCGTTGACGAATCAAAATGCTGATGCGTTGTCACCCGTGAGGACTAAGATGGAATTCCTCTTTTCCAGAAAAAAGGGTCTCCGGTTCTCTACACTCACCATACGAAACACAGCAGTTCCAAGCTGCCATTTTACGCTGGTATTCTGTGAGAGTGTGGTCCTTCCCCGATCGCGCCGACCCAGTTGTACTATAACTATACTTACTACTAATATAGCTGCAGCATGGCTCTACCACGTATAAAATATAAAAACTCTTGTTCATAGGCCACTATTAGAGCCCCCACAGATTGCACTTTTGATCGGCCGATTGTTAAGTGGGGTTGAGTGCAAGTGCGTAAAAATTAACTTTTACGTAAGCCTAAGTAAATCAGAGCAATAGGTAACATATAAACCAACAATAACATTACCTGAATCGCTTAAATGTCCTTCACTGTCATCATCACTCCCCACTAGATCTGCCTGCCCATCATCCTCAGGCATATCATAGTCGTCCAAATTTATCTTTGGTAATGCTTTCGCTTTCAATTTAGCTTTCCGTCTAGCTTTGCGAGCTCTTTTCATTTCTTTCTCCACCTTTCAATGGAAAAGAAATATATAAAAATAAACTAAAAAAATAAGTATCCGTTACAGCCTATTGAAGTCCACTGCTGAACTGAACATAGGCCTCCCTCAAAATTGCCTCATAGGGGGTATTTGCCATAGTTGCCACGCTTGGCAAGCGGGTTGGTAACCGCAGTTTATTTATATTATTTTTCGTTATTAGGAAGACGCTGCTGCCTATCCCCTCTGTCACCTCTTACGACTCCCACGTGATGATATGGGGTAGTGGAAATTCTTACACCGCCACTACACGATACGGTAAAATAATAAGTAGTTTTTTTTCTAGTTTTAAATCTTTAGTGAAATGTTGTGGTGTAGTTCAGTATTTTTATATTTACCTCATATTAAAGAATTTAAATTAGTGAAGTTTCTCTGTTACAATCCTATTTTGTACGAACGTAAACAATTTTTACATACTTTTATAAAGAACGAAAAAGATTATTGAGCGAATAGAACGTCCACAAGGCGTTGTGGTACATTAGGTGTAATTGTAGCATACTAGCAATCCGCCCCGGCTTCGCACGGGTGATTTCTGGATCTCTACAATAGCGCCACCTACCGGGTCTAATCGTGAATCTAAACCATTCTCGAATCAACTTAATCACACACACACACACAAAATTTCATTAAAATCGGTCCAGCCGTTTAAGAAGAGTTCAGTCACATACACATGCACAGAAGAATTTTATATTATATATATATATATATATATATATATATATATATATATATATATATATATATATATATATATTATACATATAAATTTTCCTGTTGAATCATTCTGTCTATTGATGAAAACCGCATCAAAATCCGTTGCGTAGTTTAAAAGATCTACGAATACAGACGGCAGGAAGCGACTTTGTTTTGTACTATGTAGAGATAGCGATGGAAATATGCAAAATCAGTGATGCCAATGTTGGCTGAGATAATGAATGAATAAATAAGACCATGCGCAGTAAGGTCAAACCATCATTGTGGACAGCATAAAATGAAATAAGACCACAAACTTTATACGTGGTAGAGCCATGCTGCAGCTATAGTACTGGTATAGTTGTAGCACGAATGCGTCGGCTCGACCGGGGAAGGACCACGCTCTCACAGAATACCAGCGTAAAATAGCAGTTTAACGCTGTTGTGTTTCGTATGGTGAGTGTAGAGAACCGGAGTCCCGTTTTACTGGAAACTAGGCATTCCATCTTAGTCCTCACGGGTGACAACGCATTGGCATTTTGTTTCGTAATCGAGGATAGATGTAGATGTCTATGGGCCACAGCAACCACTTACCATCAGGTGGACTGTGTGCTCGTTTGTCATCCTTATCATATAAAATATGACGAAGACTCGTCTGATGAGGACTGCGACATTTTGCTAAATATAATAAGCTTATTTCTTTTTTTTTTAAATGTTACCCCCACACTAGGATTTTCTCCTGTACCGTGGAGGCAGTTTACAAACACAAATTGCACAAGGACAAACATACAGACCTGGAACAATTATTTGTAGGCGATGCAAATACTTGTTCCGTGCGGGATTCTAACCCGCGGCTCTCAGCGCAACTCACTGCTAAGCCACTGCGCAAGCCACGGAGCCGTGGCGCAGAGGATTACCAATGCATGAAAACAATATTTTCTGATTCAGAAATATATCTAAAATTCTGTAATTTTTATACTCATAAGGAGTTGAGTTTTTCTAATAATTACTATTGACGCGAAGCTCCAATGAGAATTAAAGAAAAAATAGGTCTCTAAATGTTTAAAAAAGTACTAATACCAAAACTACACCATATAAACCCCATATTAGAAATTTCTGCTGTAATGTGGAGGTTTTTTACATACATATTTGCAGTTGTACAAACAGCCAGACCCGAAACAATTATTGTATGAGAATCAAACCTATCTCGCAAGCAGCAGCATGCCTATGCCGTAACCAAATGCTTGCCATTGTGTAGCTAAGATGTCAGTTTCTTTTCGACAAATGCTAAAATCGGATACGCTTAAAAGAGCACGTACCATATTTTCATAATATTCAGTAAATTAGTCAAGTTGTAATAACGTTACAGTTATGTCAAGAATTCTTATATTAACACTCACTTCGTCATCATCAGAATCGATGTCCTCGGGCTCAGAGTCTAAAGCAGCATCGTTTTCATTCGCTGCTTTTCTTGTGATCAACTTACTGTAATCAACGTCTTTACGATATGGAAAGGACGCTTTCAGCTTCCGAACTAGATACCTAACCTGTAAAACAATTTTCTAGTCAATTATAACATTCAATTTATTTAAGAAATACACATCTAATGTATAAAAATTAATATTTGTTTGTTCATATTTTATGCGCTGCCATACCGTTCATCAGATTGCGGTAAAACTTTGTCAACCTATCGCTTATACTTGCGCAAACGTTATAGGCATAGTAATTAATATCAATGTATTATCATTAATATTAATAATTAAACAATATAATTCTTCCAAATTTAAAACGATATTTCCACAATTATTTCTTCTGCGATAGCAACGCGCTGGGTACCAGCTAGTTTTTCATAAAAGAAAGTTACTTGGAGGTTTTTTCGAAATTGAAATTAAACAGGAACACTAAAATGCAGTAATGAGGCATTAAAGCCCAAGTGTGTGAATAAATGGTACTCTAGTCCTTTATTGACGCATTAAGACGAAGCAAACCGTTTAAATCGAAGGCGTGGAATGTCAAAAGACCCGCCTAGCGTCTGTTTTATCCGACGGTGGAACGAGGGAATACTACATGTGCATACTTGTCTATTATAGATTTATTGAAATTAATCAATCTATTCAAAGTCTCGATGGCCGCACGTAGACAACACAGTGGTTGTACTAGAGGGAACAATCTATTATTATTAACTGTATTATATATTAACTGTATGATTAAAAATATAAATGAACTTACTTAAGTAACAGCCATATTGCCCCACTTCTAGGCACAGACGTCCTCTCATCACTGAGAGGGCTTAAGGGCGAGGAAGTATTCATTAGAATTAAGTTAACGCTAACGTTAGATGGAGTGATGACCTGGTAAGACATGCAGGAAGTCGATGGATGCAGGTGGCTGAGGACCGTGTTTTGTGGTATTCTTGGGGGAGGCCTATGTTAAGCAGTGAAGGGCTGTAATGATGATGATGATGGTTACGGTATGTCTAGCCCATTATTATTAACTCAGTAAATACCATAATAGTCTTAAAACCCCCTATATATGAATCTTAAAACATAGAATATTTAAAGTTAAAGCCTACATACGTCCCACTGCTGGTCACAGGCCTCCTTTAATTTATGAGAAGGTTTTTTAGGGCAAGGAAATGTTCGCCGAGCCACCTCCATGCGTGAACTACACATGTCTTCAAAACATTTTTTTTTTCTTATTTCTCAGACATGCAGATTTCCCTAAGACTATATAGAGACTGATAATAATTGAACAGCTACCTCCTGCTGACCAGTGACAAAAATCAAAATTCCTCCTTCTGGCAGCCTTGTGTGTATTTTAACAGTTTTTTTGTACGCTTCCTTCAAATAGTCACTGTAGGTATGTTTGTTGAAGTGAATTGTTACGGGAAATTGTCGTGCATCAATCTGAAACATAGTTCAAATTACATGTATATTTTTTATAGGATAAGGGTGACAAACGAGCACACAGTCCACCTGATGGTAAGTGGTTGCTGTGGCCCATAGACATCTACTTCTATATTCGTTTGCGAATTAAAATGCAGATACTTTGTCAGCTGTGAGGACTAAGATAGAATGCCTCTTTTCCAGTAAAATAGGTCTAAAAAAGGTCTCCGGTTCTCTACACTCACCATACGAAACACTGCTACTATTTTACGCTGGTATTCTGAGAGAGCGTGGTCCTTCCCCAGTTGAGCAGGCCGTACCGTGTAAAAAAAATACCACGTAAAATTTTCAATATAACTTTGTCTATGTTATGTCTGCGTAAACGTATACATCATCGCATACCGTTCCGCGAGTATCGGAACAGGCAATTATGTGAAATACCGATTGTGGCAAACCATCTTTAAAAGGGGAAATGCTCATGTCCAACACATTATTTTTACTATTTGATGTAAAAGAAAATTCTTTTTTTAATAAACATTTGATAAAATCTTATAGGGGAAAAGTATCAAACATTCAAGTAGTTTAAAAAAAAACAAAGTTGCATTGTTTTTCTTTTTTCAAATTTGCCTGAAGCCAATAAGCTTAAAATCCTTGCAATAGATATGTTTCTTTTGATTTGTAAATTTTAGTTACTGAGGAATTCATATTATGCCATGTGATTAATTCCGGTGATTTAATTAATCAATAGTCTATTATTGCCATGTGGCCATAAAATCTAAGCATTATTGTTGCCGGAATTTAGTTTAATGATTATCTGCAATATGGCAAAGGTTTTAATTTTCCTTGTCAGCATATAATTAATGAAATTGTAGTCGACAGAAAAACATAAATGTCATCTAGAGTAAAATATCATGCAAAATATTATTTACACAAAAAGTATATATCACACCTTAATTAAAGGTGGTGCTTCCTTAAATAACCGTTTGTTCTCAGTGAAATCTTCCACCCTTAAAGTAGCAGACATTATAATCAGTCTAAGAGGGTTGCCGCGCTTTCTCCTTATTGGCACTATTCTCGACAGTAGACCCAATAAAATATCAGTATAAACACTTCTTTCATGAGCTTCATCGATAATTACAACAGAGTATTTACTTAGCAAGAAATCTGTCTGGATCTCCTTCAACAATACACCTGTAAAATAAAAATAAAAAATTACTAAGCAAGCTTTTGTTTACTTTGCATTGAAAATTATTTAATTTAATGAACAGGCAATTTAAAAGATCAAATCAAGATACTTGATAGAGTACGAAAAAAATTTCGGGTTGTAGCCGTGTGTGGTTTAGAGGTGGCAGTGATAGTGCATGCAAATGTGGACAAGAGAAGAGTCTTCTTCAAATTAAGTAATCCACACCGTTTAAATTTGCACACAGACCAACATAGTTAATCTATTTCCCATTACCAGTACAAGAGCTGTGGTTTTGGGTCTTTCTAATGAATGTAGCCCCATTCCTCAACCCTAGAGCCTTCTTTATTAATACCACGAATGCACTTTAAGTAGGTAATATTGGCATTTGTGGAATTAGGCACATACCCCAAAGATTTTGGGATTTCTACAAATATATAATATAACTCTAAGACATTTGTGATCTTCTAAAAATAATTTTAAAGTTCAGTTAATACTTACCATCAGTCATGAACTTAATTTTTGTGTCCTTTGTAACATTACCCTCAAAACGCATTAAATATGAAACCTCTTTGTTAGTCAAACCCAACTCATAAGCAACTCTAGCAGACATTGCTACAGTCGCCACACGTCTAGGCTCAGTCACAGCGATCATTTTACGTTCCGCATATCCAGCTTCATAAAGAAATTGGGGTATCTGAGTGGTCTTACCACTGCCTGAAAATATGATTCAAGTATAAACAACATGAAGACACTAAAAATGTTTATAATGACATTAAAACATTATACAAATTCATTAGAGCATGAAGACAAACATTGAAAATTAGGAATGTTTAATTTACAAAATGATTGACTAATACTTATTACGAGCACTTAGTTAAGCATATTAAAATACTTATATAATCCTTACCAGTTTCACCAGCAACTATCAAAAATTCATTCTCATTGACCAACTCCATTATTCTTTGCTCTTCTCCTAAAATTGGCAACTTTAACCTTGCAACTTGTATTTTCGGATCTCTCTTCACATCTATATGAACTGTTGGATGATCAAGTAATGGTTTTTTAACTTCATTATTGGTTTCAACTTGTGTCTTTGTTTTATTCTCTACATTTGATTTCTGTGTATGTTCTTTGTCTTTTGTTGTTACTTTTACTAAATCCTCTTGCGTATTCTCTGCATTTTGTTTATTTTCCTTTTTATCATTAGGTTCATTATTAACATCTTCCTTGACAGATATACCATTTGACACTTCTTCTCCATTTTCACCTTCTTCGGAAAATGAATCAACTTCATCATCCGTTGACTCTTCTAGTCCAACTATATTAGGATCATATTTTTTCTTCTTTGTTTTATCAGCATTTTCTAATCTCAATAACCTGAGGCGTTTTTTGGCACCTGTAGACAGGTAATATATAAGTAGTTTGATAATAATTTTTAAGTTACATAATATAACAAACTTCACAACATTTATTTTATTTATTTTTATTTTTGGTGGGTGACAAACGAGCACATAGATCACTTGATGGTAAGTGGATATCGATAATCAATTAAGAATCAAAATGCAGATAAGTTGACACAACAAAAAAATTCTGAACGCCATTTCCATTAGCCCTACTGAACTTGTTAGCATCCAGGAAGAATACTACTTTGCGCACTGAGTAGTGTACGTTAAACATCGATAGACTATCGATGGTATCGATAGTAAATGGCTATTGATACTATCGATAGTTTTTAAAACTATCGATCAAGGTATAAGGTAGGTAGGTTTTTCCCCGGCTATAGTGACAACGGCGTAAACATTGAGATTGTTCCCTATGATAGTAAGGAATTACCGTGCGTATATCATCCATTTACAAGACAACAGTCAGTCAGTCAGTTTTTTTATTGTGGATGTTTGAAGTTGAGTGGAGTAACAAACAATTTAGAATTAAGCAATAAAACATGAGTAGTAAGTCAAGTGCGTGGGATTACTTCAAAAAGACTAATAAAAAGTTTGCCAAGTGTTCTTTGAGTAAAAGAGAGTTTAAACTAAGTGGAAATACTACGAACTAGATCAATCATATGAAGAGAAAACATAATGAGGTATGGATATGGTCATCCACTGTTTCTGTTACTTAAGACGTAGATACGACTGAGCAAAATGGGCCCAAGCCCTAAAAAAAGAAATACGCTAAAAAGTTATTTTGACAGATGGGAAAACAAAGCAAAAGTTGGATAACAAATACGTGCGCATGATTGCTGTTGACATGGAACCTTTGCAAAAAGGAGAACATGAAGGATTTCGGGATTTTGTAATGCTCTCGATAGTAGATATGAATTTCCTGATACAACAACATTGAAGAAGAAATTACTGCCGGAATATTATGAAAACGTGAAACAAACAACAATGTACAAAATTTTTTTGTAGAAGATGAATCTCAGTTACTGAAAGCGGAAAGAAAATATTACTCTGTGTGAAGGGATCAGTTGAGTCCCTATGCAAACAGGACACTTGTTGTACTTGCTACAACAAGTGTCCTGTTTATTTATATTTATTATTACTAATTGGACTCCCGATTTAAGAAGAAGGGGTTCAAAACAAGTGACGACGAGAAGCGAGCTGGTCAGTGGCTGGAAAAGGCCTATGCTAACCATTTAACTAAAGAACGCTTGGCTGTAGAAGAAACGCAACCAACACCATCCATGTCTTCAGGAACATTTAATGACCTGTTGGGATTCCTAGACGTTCCAGACGTATCGACCCCTTTGAGTAACTCATTGTTAGATGTCAGGCAATATCTCGAGAAGCCAGTAATTGACAGAAAAGAGTGTCATATAACATACTGGAAATACACCAACAATAAATTGAAGGAATTAGCGACGCTCTATCTTTGTATTCCAGCATCTTCTGTGCCTTCGAAACGTATCTTTTCGAAGGCCAGAGAAAATTTAACCGAGCGCAGAAATAGGTTAAAAGAAACAAGATTAAACGAATTGTTGTTTATAAAACAAAATACCTGCTATTTTAATGATTGATTTGTAACTATAATAATGATGAATGCTGATTTTTGATTGTTATTTCGAATATATCAAAATAAAACTCTACGTTTCGTATAACATTTGTTATTTTATTGATGTTACGCTAATCCTACAATTTTTTAAACTATCGATAGACTATCGATACTATCGATAGTTTTTAGTAAAACTATCGATACTATCGGATTACCAAACTATCGATGTTTAACGTACATTAGCACTGAGCACTTACACTGCAGGATGGTCGGCGGTTTGGCTAAAATCTTTTTCCTTTGCGACATGGAAGACGACACACTGTTGAGATGGCTGACAAAAATTAACTTGGACAGCTTTAACAAGAGAATGGAATACAACGGTTCACGAAGTCAGGTGAACTAGTATCTTGCTAATACTGTCGATGAGTTCTGACTTTTACTCTTTTGACTTGGAGTAGAATGGTAGTTTTACGTTAAGAGAGTTTGAGTTTCCATCCCGGGGCGTCGATGCGTCATCCTAGGCCTGGTAACTCCCCTGCTCATGGCATAATACAATTTTGCAGAAAGGACCAAACCAAGGCTGGAATCTGCCTCTAATAGTCACTGTAGTGACCAGTACCTACACATAGAATAGAGAGTTCTATTTCCTATAACACATCAGCAATAATACCAGCGTCAAATAGCAGCTTAACACTGCTGTGTTTCGTATGGTGAGTGTAGAGAACCGGAGACCCTTTTTACTGGAAACGAGGCATTCCATCTTAGTCTCAGAGATATTTTTTGAACCAGTGGTAAATAGAATAATGACTTTCAATAAGTATTATGTAATAATCCATATTGAATAAAAATCATTCTATTCTATTCTATTCTATTCTAGTCCTCACGGGTGACAACGCATCTGCATTTTCATTCGTAATCGAAGATAGGTGTAGATGTCTATGGGCCACAGCAAGCACTTACCATCAGGTGGACTGTGTGCTTGTTTGTCACCCTTATCCTATAAAAAAAAACGAACAACAACTTTGAGATCATCTGGCATGTAGCAATGGATAAGATGCAAAAAAGAGACTGCATCTTAATCCGCCGAGTTATGGTGCCCTACACACAATGCATTCACAATGCGATGCAATGCACTAGCAGGCTGATAAAAAACTATAATGGGACTGTTATTTAAACCCAAAACGAACCAGTCCAATTTTAGAATTCGTGGTATGAACGGCCATACACTGCAAGTTGCAGATTGCAAATGCATAGGCATGTGAGTGAGGTATCATACTCGGTATCAAACTATGGTCCAATATGCCAAGAAGGGCATGACACATGCAAAGCAGTTTATATAGTTGGAAAATAATGATGATGGTAGGATTTTTTTCATAAAAAGATAAACAGAAGACAATCGCAGCTCATGGGTACATACAAGTTAAATAACCAAGCATCACTAACAACACTACCGTAAGCCTATCAAAAAGTATTACATCCTAAATACCTTAAACATAAAAGGGTTACGAGTAGTTACTTTCAAAATGTAGAATATATGATTATTTAAGTGTTCATCTGGTAGCCAGATGTAACAAATATTAAACAACATTGTAATGACACTGGGACGGATTACCTGATATGTGGGTGACTTAGTCTTTTTATTTGTACATTAACATATACCTGCTATACTGCTAAACTTTTTCTGTTCCTCTACATGATTAGTTGATGTCACTGGAGCTTCTATATTAAATTCGGTCAATTTTCTTAATCCAATTGTCTGAACAGCAGAAATAGCTGTCAATTGTTTCACTTCATCAGGAGTTGCTTGAACTTGCGACAGGGATTCTAAAAGAGCAGCCCTCTGAAGCCAAAAGGGGAACCTTATTATATTATTAACATTTTTATAAATACATAAATAGTCATCTAATATTATTTATTTATTGATGTTGATGAAATTTATTGTCACAGATACAGAAAATAAAAATTTATTCTATTATTGAAGTTAGCCATCTATGTATGTGAAATATATAGAAAAAAAAACACTTACAGATTCTTTTTTCTTCTTTTTCTCTACAATCTTCTCTAATCGTTTACGTTGAGCTTTGGAGAGAAATCGAGTTTTTTCTTTTTTCTCCCTAATGACTTTTGTTTCTCTCTTTTTTGAAGGTAGAGCTAAAAGGTTACTTGCATCTGCAGTGCCATACTCATTAGTGCCAAATTCGAGTTTAATCTAAAAAAAAAATTAATGAAAAACTGATTAGAATCTTTAAATTTTTTTGTAAATCTTCATCTATACAAATAAATAAAATTGAAGTGTAACTGGTTGCTGTGGCCCATAGACATCTACATCTATCCTCATTTGCAAATCAGAATGCAGATGCAATGGCACTCGTGAGGACTAAGATGGAATACCTCTAATCCAGTAAAAAGGGTCTCCAGTTCTCTACACTCACCATACGAAACACAGCAGTGTTAAGCTGCTATTTTATGCTGGTATTCTGTGGGAGCGTGGTCCTTCCCCAGTCGAGCCAACTCATTCATGCTACAACTATACTACTAATACTAAAAACTATAATACTAAAAGTCTATACCAAATTACACTTTTTTAATTATCTCAGTATATGTTGCATAAACAATAATAGATAGAACCATAAGTGCATTATATGTTGCAATTTTTACCAATATTTAAAAAGTCATGACAATAACTTCTTATTTTACAAAAATAAAAAACACTTGTGAGTGGTTTGGACTCACACAGGTTGAAATTAATTCGGGGCACCACAATACACGTCAATCTATACGTGTATTGTCTCTGTTTAAATGTGACTATGGTAGTGGCCAAGCAGGCATTCATTATTTGCTGTTAAGGTATTCATTGTGCATCATGTGACTTTTTTATTATTTTATATTTCATATGTAATTTGTCAGATTACAAGGTACTGTTTTTCAAAAAGTTCCAGACCACCCAGGGGGCTGTGGCAATACTCTATAGTCCCACAAATTTGATAATCCGACACCACCTTGGCAAATGTTTGTGAGATTATTACTGCGGGTCAGCTATATATGGAATATAAAACACTGTCCAATTTCACAGTTACACTGGCCGCTCTTTAGCAGTAGACTCATGTGTGCAACTATTGTGCACATGCATTCCTTGCTACAGGGTTGGCTGATTTAAATCAGACTGATTTAAATCATGATTTAAATCACGATTTAAATCGCCCGATTTTGAATAAAAAAATCATTGATTTAAATCAACATGTATAAATTAATGTAATAGGCAGAAAATGAAATAAAACTGGCTTAAAATAAAGTAAAATCTTTTATTGTTTTATGTTATTCTTATTATTCTACTACAATAGTCTCATAAACTTTGCAAAATCAACAAAGACGTAGCAATGAGATCTGTCAGTTTTAAAATCAAATTTTTTATTTTTTAGAAATTCACTCTTAATATGTATATGAACTGTAATTAATACAGTATGTATTAATTATTTTACTCTTAATCAGTTTCATACATATCTATACAAATAAATAAAATTGAAGTGTCTGTTTGTTATGTCAAAATTATGGCTTTTTACTAAATGCATATGAAAGTATATACGATAAGTATAACAAAAATACATTTTTTAAAATTTATGTCTGTCTGTCTGTCTGTTTGTTCCTGCTAATCTTTGAAACGGCTGGACCGATTTTGACGGGACTTTCATTGGCATATAGCTGATGTCATAAGGAGTAACCTAGGCTACTTTTATTTTAGAAAAAGAATTGGGGTTCCGTGCAAAAAAACTAAAACCCCAAATAACACGCAGGCAAAGTCGCAAGGAACAGCTAGTGTGTTCATAAACTTTTAATCGTACTATGTTAAAAAGTGTTACCAACTCGTGTATTTCCAAATATACAAAAAAATCAAAAAATTCAAAAAAAATCAAAAAAATCATGATTTTTTTTAAAAAATCAGCATGATTTGATTAAAATTAAAAAAATCATGATTTTTTCCATCCCTGCTTGCTATACCACTTCTGCATGACCTGGGCTCTAAAGCTTGGTTGGACTTCCTCTTTAGAAATTCAATTTTGCAAAAATAACAAAATAATCTTGGGGTGCACTACATCAACTATAACAGATAGAATTGTCTATTATTACAGTCAGTCAAAATATATTATATCAATTATTAGATAGTTCTATGTATTATAATATCAATGCATAATAGCTGAGACTATTATGCATTGATACTATAAGATGTAGAACTAAGAAAAACTTGCTATTTAGATGCATTGCATAAAACACTATAAATTTATTAGAAGCCCAGGGAGACTGCTCTTACAAAATTTACCTTTTAATGTCAAAAGATTACAATTCCTATAAAAAGTAGCAAATTCAAGTCTTGAAAGTATCGGAATAGCTTGCTCACATATTTCTTACAAAATCAGCATTGTGCCGGTTCACAAAATTAATTAAAAATCAAATAATTTAATGTAGTCTCTGTAGACTTCTATAAGTCAGTTCTATAAGTGTATGGCAATAGATTATTTCGTAATTTTGAGTTAAAATAATTTGTCAGCTTATAATTAAACACTAGAGGAGCCACGGGTTATAGATATACATCATGATGAGGATGACTGATAATACTACAATACAATATTTTATTACTCTGTGGTAAAATAATTGATTGAGTTGATTGAGCATTGGAACACATTTGCAACGTCTCTTAATACTTCAGGGTTATATATATTGTGGTTATGGTGTAATCCTAAAGAAAAGTTTATACATGACTAACATATAAAATAAATTAAATAATATTTACCTCACTGGTTTGCGAATTATCAATATTTGTTTTAACAATCTGCCGTGCCTTTGCATTATGCCGTTGTTTTCCCATGGTTGTTGATGTATTATTCACTTAGTTGTTTCTTAAAAATATAAATCAACTCGTAATCAATTATTTAAAACACTTTATTATAATAAAATTTAACACATAAAATAAACTTACATACTTATTTTAAAATTTCAATTAGCATTGCTACAAAATTTTACAAAAAACGTGTTTCTGTTTTGATTTTTGATACATATTGACATTTGACATTGACAATTGACAACGACGATTCTGTTTTTTTTTTTGGAGTTTATGGCCTGGCATCTAGACCTTTAGGCCAACAACGACGATTCCTTGACAACAGACCATAGATATAAGAAAAATATCTATGAAAAAGACAAACAATATGATATTTATTTTAAATTTTGAGGCCGGTTACATATATACGGAATTCCGTTTCGGGATTCCGTTTCGATATTCCGATTCGGAATTCCGAACGCAGCACGTGTCCATATAAAATCTTTGACCAGTCACACAGGTACGGTAGTTATCCGTTCGAAAATATTGCGGGTAAAACGGAATTCCGTATGTGTCGCCAACCCGTTCGGAATTCCGAAACGGAATCCCGAAAGGGAATTCCGTATGTATGTGGCGGGCCTAAGGGAGACATCAGTAATTAAACCATAAAGCTAAATTGTGCTACCAAAAGTATTAATTAAAACGTAGTGATTATATACTCTTTAGTATTAACCACTAACCGAAAAAGGCAAATACAATTTATGACATGGTGCAAATAAATTACATTTCGCTATGTGAATATTGAGGGTCAATAAACTTCACTAACTTTTACCATGGAATAAAATGGGGGGGGAGGGGTGACATCCCTCTAGGCGAGGTGTTTAGCCTTGTTCAGGACGTATCATAATCAGTTTTGCTTGTTATACTCGTTTAGCTCTCGACTATAGCTAATTAATTTTTACATTTATTCTTTGTACTGGCCTAGTTAAAATACTACCAACAAACGCCGAAAAGAAAAATAGACACAAGAGAAAATTTTAAAATAACGCCGAAAAGAAAAATAGACACAAGAGAAGATTTTAAAATAACACCGAAAACAAAAAATAAATAAACCGAAGTAGAGTTTACATTGTTAATACTTTATTTCCATTTTGTTTTCTATTCTCAATCTTATTTCGGTCGTTTTAGTGCATTACTTTTTTGTCTTTTTTGCAGTCGGGTTTTTGATTTTTTAATTATTTATTTTTGATGAAAGTTTAGCACTAGGTCTCGGAACAATAAACTATATTTCTAAGGCTTATTGAGCACGAAGGTGACAACAATATAGCTAACTGATGTAGTACCCGAGTTTGGTACCAAGTAAAATGTCATTTGCATAAAGAGTTCAACTACAAGAATTATGTTCTTATTTTAAAATTACCTCTATGCCTTTACTTTGAGCATAACAACTAAAACGTAGTGATTATTTACTCTTTGGTAAAATAAACAAAAAATTAACCCAATGTGGCACGCGAAATTCAAATTTTCTTAATTTAAAAAAATTGATTTTCGCGGGCCACCCTGGTACTTTCACCTTAAGTCTTACCTGGGTATTTTGCAGGTAACTTGACTGCTGGCGGGTTTCACTTCTTATTTTTATCATTTAAATAATGATTTGGAGTGAAATTATGAAACGTAAAAGTTGTGTAATTTTGTGAATTAAGTGTATGCATATATTAACTATTAATGGAAACGTAACAAATGCTTCGACAATGAAATAAATCTCGAGTTTTTTAGGGGTCCTGTACTATTACCGTCACCAATTGTTCTCTGGGTTAAAAAGTCGTCAAAAACCATTGATATATTAAAAGGGGGAAGATATGTTACGCGCTAATATCGCAATCACTAAACCTAGGCTCGGCGCACGACTACATGCACCGAAACTTTTACATCTGTTATGATAATCGCAAAATTAGATTTACCGATAGACAAGGACAGATATAGGAACCGTCGTAGTTGTGCGAGCGAAATCGCGTTAGATAATCGCGTATCGTGTCTCTCCCGCATTTTGTATTATCTATCTCGCTCTCACAAACAATAAATATTATCATAATTTTCAACATAATAAAATTTTTAGCTATTATTACGAGTGGGAATTAATCCCGTGTATCTTATTTTTTTTCTTGAATTATTAGAACACTGTTTGGCTGCACAAGAAGTCATTTTAATGCGTATTTAATACCAAAAGAACTGAAATTTAAGAGCTGTATGATCAACGACGTTCCGCGCGCGACTGAGTGTCACTACGAGTACGAGCCAAGTACGGGCAATCCCGTAGTTTTGTGGGACCGGGCGCTGTGATTTAGTGACATATCTTCCCCGTTTAATATATCAATGTCAAAAACTTAGCAATGTGATACGTTAACATAAGTGATTCGTGAACAAAGTACAAATCAGACTAGGCTGTACGGTATATGAGTTTTGCCTATCTTAATTGATTTAATAATGATCGTAACAATAACAACAACAAAAATTGACATATGACAAAAAGACAAAAATGAAATACCAATCCCAGTAACCTCACGTGTAACCTCAAAAAGTTTATCTCATTTAATTTATTTTCATATCCTTTTATACTTTTAAATGTTTTATTTTTAAAATGTTACATGAAATAACAAAGCTTCATATTTATATCAGTAAAATATATAACACCAATATAGTCTGTCATAATTCTTTAATAGCAGTGTGTAGCGATAAAGGTATTCATATAATAGATTATTCTTACAATTTACAGTGCTATGACAAAAAACTTGACTATTTTGAGACTATGATAACAGCCCCAAAATATAGTCCAGTTTCTGAATTATTTGAGAACAGTTTTGTTAAAAATGGTGTGAGAAATTCAGAATTAGTCCAAATGATATTGGATCCAACATTATGGCCACACAATAATCAACTTTTAAATGAAATGACGAGCATTGCAGCCTTTGAATGGTCTCCAATTAATTTCATTGGTAACATGGATAGTGCTATAGCTGTATTAACTAATGTTGGATGTGTTGAGTTGTTTGGTCCTAATAGATTAAATTGGTCTTGTATTCTAAATCTTTCATTGTTAATGAAAAATAATTTGAAAGAGTTATCAATAACAAAAGCGCTAGACCAAACTCCAACAAATGCTAAAGAGTTACAAGAAGCAGCACATGCTCTGGCAACTACCGCAATATGCTGGGCTGACAAAATTAATAAAGATCATTCATGTTATTTCGTTACAGCCCAAAAAAATGGATTTATATTATTCTGGTTATTAAGATGTCAAGAGATGCAAGTGGAAGCAAAGTTGATTGGTCATATAGAATCAGATTTAGAAATACTTCATATTTCTTGGGTGCCTTTAGGCAATAATAAGTTTTTAATAATTACATCCGACACATTAGGTAAGGTCTTTGCATATGTGTGTACAGTAGAAGATAATTTGATAACATGTTTGACCAAAGAAGAATTATGGCAATATAGAGATAAAATGATTGCAAAACATTTTAATTATATTGTTAGTGATGAAAATATCATTTTACTGTACAGTAAACATAGACATTTCGTTGTACAAATGTTTGACAAAAACTGCAAATTAAAATCACAGGAGGTGACTAATATAAATGATTATAAAATAACTGATATAAAAAAGGGACAAAATAACTTTTACTTGAGTACAATTAATAACAAACTTCATAAAATTGAGATACATCATAATTATAACACTTTAAAAATACAGACACCTTTAGTGGAAATCAAAGAGTCTTACCCTACCTCAGAGTTACATGGTATTGGATTTTCAGCTAATGGAGCCTTATGTATGCTAGCGTTGATTGACAGAAAAGTGTTATGGAGAAAAGAGCCCTTTAAGATTGACTTGCTTTTCTTAATAAATTCAACAAATAATCATGACTTTGAAGTGAAAGCAATTTTAAATAATCCATCCAGTAAGTTAACAAATCAGTGGGATAATATTGAAATACTCAGATATAAAACAATGAAAACTAAAATGTTACCAAATTTAGATTATAAACAGTTATTGGCTGAAAGTGACATTGATATCTATAATCTTAAAGTTTATTATATATTATTGAAGCTTTATAATAACTTAGAGAGCTTATGCAAAAACAGCTCTAAAGGATCATTGCCGGAAACTTCAGTTGAAGTAATTAATGACAGAATTCATGCCTCATATGCTAGTAGCTGTATTGAAAATATTCATAAAAAATATAAGGAATCTAACTGTATTTTAGAAGATATAGATTCAGAGACTATTTATGGTGCTAAAGCATTTTTAGATTATTACTGTCACAAATATAAAAAGGGATTGCCAGGAACACTCGATCCTAGTGTATTAGAAATTTTTAAAACAGATCACCAATATATATGTCAGTGTTGTGATAAGGAAATAGAGGGTTTCTCATGTAAAAGTGGTCACTTAAATATGTTTTGTTCATTAACATTTACTCCTATTGAGAGTGATAATTACCTTGTTTGTAAGGCCTGTGGCTCATTGGCTAGAACTGAGTTGTTACCAAACAATCCAACCTGTGTATTCTGTGATTTATTTTTAAGTAAAAATTTCAATAAGTAGAATAAAACATAATTTTTATTTTAGTTGTCTTTTAATTAATAATAGTGTACTCCAGACCAAATTTCGGTCACGGCAGCCAGTCTCAACGGAGACTAGCCATCGCCACAGGAGAGAATTATAGTGCCCGTGTATGCGCAAGCACAGATGCACTCTCTATTCCCTTACTCTCATAGTCCAATGGGATGGTAAACCGACACAACCGGAGAGAGATCAGGTGCAGGACCAATGGCTTTACTTGCTTTCCGAGGCACAGGGGTGAGACACCGCTAACTGTCTGACTCCAGGTAGCTACTGAGAATTTCTTGATGGAAAAACTGAATAACTGATTTTTTTTGGCGCGACTCGGTTTTCGAACCCGGGACCTCATGATCAGCAGTCGCACTACTACAACCACTAGACCATCGACGCAGTCATTTCTTTTCTTTTAATTAATAAAATGGTCAATGTTGTGTTCATGGGCTGCAGCTGCAGTAGCCACTTAGTAACACGCGGTTTGTTTAACAACTAATTCCACCCCTTGAAACATAAAAAGAAAGAATCTATGCATCACAGCTGATTCCAGTGTAGTTTCCAGTGTAGTAGGCTTTTAAATAGCCTTGATTTTTTTATTTTCTCATAATATATTTCATTTCTATTCATCATTTATATAGCCAGGTTCTTGTGCGACTATAAGTACTGATCCACATGCATGTGTTGTTGATTAACACGGTGCAGAACCTGGCTATTAGTTTAGTTTAGTTAACGACGAATTGTTTTCCGCAACTCTACGTCTAAGCGCGTATTTTGCGTGTGGGCAGGAATAATGTGATTATGTCATGAAATCTCCCCGAAGAAGTTCAACAGTCCTTTGATATTGCAAGCAACTTCGGGCAGTGATTCCGGCGTGCCAAGATGTTTAACCCTGTATGCAGCGTCGAGTTGATGACGAGATGCTGACATGTCCGGACGACATGTCAGCAACTCGTGGCTCGCCGTTTCTTCCTCCCCCATACAGGGAGGGCCTCCCTAGTTGTCTACAGTCTACTACATTTTCCAATGCTGAAGTTTATTCGTACCAGTGACCGAATGTTACCAAAGGGGTTTAGTATGATTGGTTCCTGCCCTATAGTAGTCAGAGCTGATCCTCTACTGGCCAGTACGTCTGCTGCATCGTTGCCTCTGGATCCACTGTATCTCTTTATCCATTGCAGAGATTTAATCATTGATGGCTTTCATATATTAGTCCCGAGTTCACCACATTGCAACTCAGAGCTTTTAGTACTCCCATACTGTCGGTCAGTATTCTGATGGAGAAGTCTTTTACCTTCCTAGCATCTATTGCTATGGCCGCTTGGATTATACCCATACATTCCGCCTGAAATACTGTGTTGTGAGTACCCAGCGATGTACATATGTGGATATTGAGGTCTTTAGAGAAAGTTCCAGATCTTATAAGTTTCGATACCTCCAATCAAACCATGTAATAACTGTTTAGGCCAAATATTAACATTTTAAAAACTTGCATTCAAGACGCGCGTCTCGGCGTGTCCTTCCGATGGTATTTAAAGGTCACCGCCGGCCCCCTCTCCCGCGAGCGGCTCTCTCGGCTGAGCGCTCGGTCGCCTGACGCGTGGGCGAGGTGAATTGTGCGCGACCGCCGTGTCGATTATACGGTCTAAATTTTACGCTCGGAACAGCCTCTGATAGCGTTGTCTAATCTCGTGCTTTTTACGTGACAACGAGGCTTGTCTTATTGTAGTTCTTGTTCTAATAGTTTTGAGTGATTAACTTAACTTCGATTACATATAATTTGCGTCGACGAGTTGCTTTTGTTGCATTTTAATATCGTACGAAGGAATTTTGCTTTGTCGGGTGGAACGCTAAAACTTTGTGACTCGAGAGGAGATCGTGTGTGCTCGATTATAATTTTGTGCTAAATGAACATGGGACATTGAACTTTGACCGACAGTTCTTAAGTTGGGCAGTGTCACTTGTTTTAAGTTCGATTAACGTTGATTTAGTTAAATTTGAAGTTAATTAAATGTAGAATAATGTTGATAAACTAATATAGTGAAATAAAAACAGAAAGTTTTAATTGGTGAACGCCCACTGCAGGGATCGCACATTGTGGAGAAAAGCAGCGCCTGTGGATTTGCTGTCCGATTACATCTGTGACGTCAGGTTACGTTTATACACACTTTCGCACACTACTTACATACACCTTACTTACCACATGACTGATACCCTGTGGTCAACCCTACCTCCGGAACTCGGTAAGTTTGTGTTGCTTATCAGCCATTAGTTAATAACAATCCATAGGCCATTTGGGCCCGAACCCTCTGTTGCTCGTCGAGTGTGCTACTATGGGCCCTAGCCCAGTCGACTTCTGTCGGGGCAACTGAGGGCCGTAATAATAACAAAATAAATTTATTTCGTAAAGTAGGTTATCATAAGTTAAACACATATTTTTATGACTGCGATTGGTCATTTTTACATACACAAAACTTGCAAAATGCTACTGACAATTTTTATTCAATATTATACTGGGTGGCGCCGAGGTTATCACGTTAAATAGCACAGCAGTTAATACAAGTTGATATATGTCTGTTAAAATAATAAAATAAACAATAATAAAAGAAAATAAAAAATGCATTTTTCAAACAAAATAAATAGGGTAAAATATTGACAAGAAATAAATCAGCCTTGATTGATATAGGTTACTGACCTGAAGTGACTTACAAAACGTCGCACGCGCCAGAAAAATAATAATTTATATTAACACCCGATCCCATTTCTTGTCACTTTGCGCGTAGAGAATTATGCCTTAACTTCATTATTTTAAGTAAATTTTTCGCTTGACTTTGTTTTCATACGCCTGCAGCGTGCGTTCCCTTTGTTTTTAATTTCGCGCATAAAATTATGCCTTAAATTGTTAGCCGTAAGTGCAGTTTTTGTTTGATTTTTTCTTTATTTGAGTAGTTACGTTTGATAACCTTTAAACTACCTATATTCGCCTTGAAATGGCATGGGTCTTTGACCTTCTAGAATTCATCAGGTGATATCTGTATGCATTTACATGATGTTATTTAATATTGAAACGAAAAAAATGCTACCGCGGCTAATGTATTAATTGTTATATATTTTTTTAGTTGTGTATGTTTAAAGAAATTTATGTAGCATACGTCTTTTCATTTTATGTGATAACTTTTTCGTCACTCCGTATACTGCCATTACTAAATATGTACCCCAAAAAGTAATTTCTCATTCATATATCTCGACCTGAGACGCATTAGGTCGGATATGGAATTAAACAAGTTTAGAGGTGAGCCAAAAGAAAATTTTTGATGAAATCGTGTCAAAACTATTGTTTATTTTCGATAAAGCTAACAAAAATAGTAAAATGTTTTGGATAAGTCTTGGAACTTTGTATGAGAATAGTAATAAAACTATTCACAGAATAATAATAATGTTTTATTAAACAAAAACTACATTTTTGGTGACATCCAACTTTATGCTTGTAAAGAGTTATAAAAAGACGGATCATCTTAATTCAACGTAGTGATCCAACTTTATTCCTGCAATTTTTTGGTAAATTCAATGTGTATTATAAGCTTTTTATAACATATAACATTATGTTTAACAAAAAATAGAACTTTAATTAAGCCCAATCTTGTTATGATATCTATGTACGTAGCATTTAAATTATACAGGGTGTTTTTGGAACGCTCCCGAAAACTAAGACAGGCGACAACACCAAGTATACCTTTGATCATGGGTCCAGGCGTGTCACTTTGTAAAAATCTGAGGTATGGAAAATGGTGGCGCGATTTTCAAATTTGTTCGCATTACTCGTGGGGTATTAAGGTTTAAGAGTTTGCAGTGTATATACTCAACTTATTTATTGAACTATAAGATGTGGGGTATTGAGGTTTAAGGGCTTGCGATTTATTTATATGGGGTTTGTAGTAATATGCGATTTATTTCCTAATTTCAGCTATGGAATTCCATACCTTGAAAAACTTGAGGTATGGAGTGCTCCATACCTTCCATAGTGGAAGTGACACCCCTGCATGGGTCACAAATAAATTCGATCCTGATGAAAAAAAATCATCTTTTTACAAGGTTTTATTAGCTTTATTCACGCGCCATCATGTTAGTACAGCTAAATGAAACGATAATTTCATAAAAAATATCATGAAAATACTGAAACATAAAACCAGCAGTGGAATGACTGAATTGATATCACCTGACCTGAGCTAGATAAAGGTCAATGTACGCGCGAACACAAATTCGCGCGGCCCGCAACTAGCGGGCCATCCCACAATATAATAATTTACAACACGTGTCTGCCACTGTGCTTATCTCCACGTAGCCACTTTAATCCGAATTTACAGGTTAAATAACCCAAATAACTGGTTCGATTCCCCGCTAATGAAGAAATACTTAAATGAAATGTAACCAAGGTTGGAGTCATGCGTTTTTATTCATCGTGTAGGTATGTTTATTATTCTCATGTATTCAGTTATGTACCTATTCAGATTAGTCTAGTACTAAGTTATTTAAAAAAAAAATAGTTATGAAACAGCTTACTGCTCTAAATCCTCCGTGGTCTTATGAGATGCGGCTCAAATTGTGCTCCATTCATTTCAAGGCAGATTTGGGTGCAGGCGGGGCATCATCGTGTGGTCTTCGACACAGTCCGTACGTAGTTTCTCGAAAGCATCCACGATCCTTTGGCGCATTTCTTCAGCACTATCACATTCACGATTAAAAACCCTTTCTTTCACATACCCCACAAAAAGAAGTCTAACGGAGTCAGATCTGGTGAGCGAGGTGGGCAAGCGTGTGGTCCTAGTCTGCCGATCCAGCGATCATCAAATAGCTCATTGAGGCGCTCACGGATGAACCTCACGAAATGTGGAGGGGCACCATCATGTTGGAACTATGTGCGGCGATATTCAGCCAACGATAGGTCGTTTAAAATGTCAACCAACTGTTCATTTATAAAGTTTAGGTATCGC